TCCCTTTTTATTTATATCATACATTAAAGTTAATTTTATATAAAGTCATAGTAGTACACAACAAATACCAAAATTTTAACAATTTATTAAAAAATGAATCACTTTCTGGCCATTGGATATCAGGCATGTTAGTTTAGTTTATTTATATAGCACATTACAACACAACGTTGGCCAAAGTGCTGAACACAATCAATACTAAAAATAAAATCTACATCACATACATAACAATTTAAAACATAAGGCAAACCCCTCAACATTAAAAAGGCTCAAATACTAAGGAACAAAGATGGCGTTTCAAACGCTTTTTAAAAACAGATAGGGTTTGAGCATGTCTGATGTGGGGTGGAAGCCCGTTCCAGAGTTTTGCGGCAATAACAGCAAAAGCGTGATCCCCACTTCACTTAAACCAGGACCTTGGTATAGAAAGAATAAATTCATCAGAAGACCTCAGTGACCTACCAGGATTATATACATGTAGCACGTCTGATAAGTAAGGAGGTGCCAGATTGTTTAACGATTTAAAAACAAAGATTAATAGTTTAAAATCATTCCGTGACCCAAGAGGCAGCCAGCAGAGAGGAAAGAACTGGGGATATGTGCTTGTACTTTCGAGTCCCTGTCAGAAGTCTCGCAGCCGCATTTTGTACTAATTGCAATCTATTTAGGGCATTTTGACTAATACCCACATACAGGAAATTGCAATAGTCAAGTCTTCCCAAAATAAAAGCATGGATCACCTTCTCAAGGTCATTAAAAGAGAGAAACGACTTTACTTTTGCCACAAGTCGTAAATAGAAAAAAAAAATGGATTTAACAACTGTATTTGCTTGTTTGTTAAATTTTAAATCATTATCGAAATGAAATCCTAGGTTTCTAACAACCTTTTTGATAAGTGGAAAGCTCACCAAAACCTAATAAATGCAAAGGGTTAGGATCGCCAAACCAGACCAGCTCATTTTTTTCTTAATGGAAATTTAATGGACATTTATTTACATGGACATATATATTGCGATCGTGATTTCGAAAGTATTAAATCGCTTTGTAAACGTTTATTATTACCATTTCATGAATCTCCCCATTCAGTTGAATAGAGCGCTTGAACCCGGAAGCCGCTTCGCAAGACATCACACTTAACAAGCGGATAGGCACATACTAGACTAGTCAACTTGCTCTACAATGTTCATGGATTAGCTTGTTTCAATATGGCAGGCAACCCACATAGTAAACGAACTTGGCTCAAATGTGGCCTCATTATGACACTGTGGGCGTGTTGCCGGCACTGGCATGCATAATGTCAGACGAATGTGGGCCATGCATGGCAATGATGGCCCTGCATGCATGACGGCAAACTGCATTTTGGCCAGTTGTGTATGATTGGTGTGTGGCCCAGATCAGTGTAGCGAAGGTTTTAGGGGTTTTGGTTAAAGTATAAACTTATAGCTGAGAAACGGTCCCAATAATAAACCTGTTTTGGCCCAGTTCAGGACCAGTTAAGGGTGATAAATTGAGATTCGGGCCAGTAATGGCCCATGTGTGGCCCTGTCTTTAATCCAGTTATGGGCCACTTCAGGACCGTCATTCTTTGCGGTACTTGGGCCGAGGGAAATGTTATTGTGTGACCCTGAGCTGGCCGAGTAAAGATTTGCTATGTGGGAACTTCATATAGCAACCTGTGGAAACTGCTGCTAATGAGGCATCTTTATGTGCATAGATGTCAGATATGAGGGATGCATAATTGATAGTTATTTGGTCCAAATTTGCATGCAGTAAATAAAAAAATTATTACTAAGAAATATTTTAAAGTAAAAATTATTTTAAAATACATTAATAGTAATATAATTTTAATAATAATAATGACAATGCTGACACTCAATATTGTGTTTTCTTTATTATGCCAGAATGGTACACATTCAGCAGCTACACAACACATTGGAGAGGACAAACTACTTTAAGCATCCAAACATGACTTCATGGGAATTGATAATCAATCACTCAAACACACTATTACACAAACTAAGGCCACTTTTCTGAACAGAAGACTGTACGTTTCACATACGACAGCGGCACACATTTGTTGTCCAGTCACAAGAGTACACTTATCATCATCTAGGCTGTATTAACAGTTTTCATGTGAGGTCACACCCGTATAGGAATGTTAACAAGGCTGTCCTCCATTAACCACCGTTCATTTTTACCATGATTTTATACTATGTTCTAATGTAGCAAGGCAGAAAAGACCATATTTGGTGCATATCTCACACATGATGCAATCTATCTACAGCCAAAGAGATTTCCCTGGAATATGAATGCAGTTGGTTAAACTGCATGTTAAACTTTCCCTATAGAAAACAATATGAAAATGCTTTAAATGGCCCAATGAATTGAGATCTACTCTAACATTTATATTGTGATCCATCTGCTTGCATGTATATTGTATGGTTTATCTGTAAGATGTATTGTGCTGTCAATTACATTTAATATTTTTAATATCACTGTCTTCAATTCATTCAAACGCAATTTAGTTATTGAAATACTACACAACGTGAGTCATAAGTGGTCAAAACCTGTTGTTTCTTTATATCGTTTTTCTTGTTCTTTCGAAATCTAAAGCTGCACAATAGATTGTTTGAGCATCAACGCTGCAATAATCAACAATTGTCACATTGCTGGATGTGTGATGTTAAAAAGAGATTATAACTGACCAGACACCACAATTTAGAACCAATGTGATTTGTGGGTTGTTAAATTAAAATTTAATAAAAGGAGATTTTATCATTTGCATGGGTGTCTGAAAGCACACAAATACAAATAGTCTGATAAAGTTTTAAAGGGATAGTTCACCCAAAATTATAATTCTGCCATATATTTACTCACCCTTTACTTGTTCAAGACCTATGAAGTTTCTTCTGTCGAACACAAAAAAAAAAAAAAAAAAAAAAAAAAAAAAAAAAAAAAAATATATATATATATATATATATATATAGAAAAAATATAGTAAAAATAGTTGGCACCAATTGACTTTCATAATAATGTTTTCAACCAAATATCCTATTTTGTGTTCAACAAAAGAAACTCAAAATAAAATAAAAATGAGCTTAAGAGCATTTTTGTGCATAAAATGACAAATGACAAGCACCTTGTTTTGGTGTGATTATGTTGATTTTTTCACAAAACTGAACCAATTTCAACTTCTAATGAGTTAAGAAGGCAGTGTTTGGTGGAATAATCCTGATTTTCAAATGAAATCATTTGCTATTATGACCAATTGTCATGTTCTGAAAAAAGGGTTTAAAATTTGTTCACTTTCCAGATCAGATGCAAAATTTGAAATAAAAGGTGAAATGATTCACCCAAAAGTGGAAATTCACTTGTTCAAGCCCCATTTGAGTTTGTTTCTTCTGTTAAACACAAAAGAAGATATTTTTAAAATTCAGATATAGTTGGCACCAATTAACCTCCATAGTAATGTTTTTCAACCAAATATTCTATTTGTGTTCAACAGAAGAAAGAAGCTCATATTTAAAATAAAAAAGAGCTTAAGAGCATTTTTTGTGCAAAGAATGACAAAAAAGCACCTTGTTTTGGCGTGTTTATATTGTTTTTGTTTGACAAAACACCAATTTCAACTTTTAATGAGTTTTAATAATTTAATCTTGATTTTCAAATGAAAACATTTGCTATTGTGACTAATTGTTATTTTCTGAGGAACATTTTTTTAATAAATTTGTTTCAAATTTAACGGCATGAATTCTAAAAACACTTTTCAGATCAAATGTAAAATTTCTAATGTGTCGCATTTTAAAGTGAAAGGATTTGCCTTTTCACATGGCCATACATAAGATAACTATTACATCAAGGAATTGCTTATTTTAAAATTTTAATTCTTGCATAATTTACTCCACTTCAAAACTTATGTGAGTTTCGTTCTTCATTTGAACACATAAGAAGATATATATATATATATATATATATATATATATATATATATATATATATATATATATATATATATATTTTTAAATCATATATAGTTGGCACCAATTGACTTCCATAGAAATGTGTTTCAACCAACTATACTATTTTGTGTTCAACAGAAGAAAGAAACTTACATTTAAAATGGAAATGAGCTTTAGAACATTTTTTATGCATAAAATGACAAAAAAGCACCTTGTTTTGGCATGTTTATGTTGATTTTTTGACAACAAAACACCAATTTCAATTTATAATGATATTTATAATGATGTTTGGTAAAAATAATGCTGATTTTTAAATGAAAACATTTGTTGTAGTGATCAACTGTCATTTCTGAAGAAAAAAACTTTGAAATTTGTTCAAAATTAAACGCCATGAATTCTAAAAACACTTTTCAGATCAAATGTAAAATTTCTAATGTGTCACATTATAAAGTGAAATGATTTGCCTTTTCACAAGGCTATATATAAGATAACTATTACATCAAGGGATTGTTTACCTCAATAAATTCTGGCTTAATTTAATCTTCACTTCATTAAAACCTAATTGAGTTTCGTTCTTCTGTTGAACACAAAATAAGATGTTTTGAAAAAATCTGATATAGTTGGCACCAATTGAATTCCATAGTAATGTTTTTCAACCAAATATCTTATTTTGTGTTCAACAGAAGAAAGAAACTCTAAATTTAAAATAAAAATGAACTTAAAGAGCATTTTTTAGGCATAAAATGACAAAAAGACCTTGTTTTGGCGTGTTTATATTGATTTTTTTAACAACACAACACCAATTTCAATTTATTAGTTAAGGCTGCAATATTTGGTAAAAAATAATCCTGATTTTTAAATGAAAACATTTGTTGTAGTGATTAATTGTCATTTCTGAAAAAAAAACTTTGAAATTTGTTCAAAATGAAATGGCATGAATTCTAAAAATACTTTTCAGATCAAATGTAAAATTTCTGTGTCACATCATAAAGTGAAATAATTTGCCTTTTCACATGGCCATACATAAGATATTACATCAAGGGATTGTTTATTTTAAAATGTTTATTCTGGCATAATTTACTACACTTCAAAACCTATTTGAGGTCCAACAGAAGAAACTCAAATTTAAAATAAAAATGAACTTAAGAGCATTTTTTTGTGCATAAAAGGACAAAAAAAAACCTTGTTTTAGTGTGATTATATAATTTTTTCAACAACACAACACCAATTTCAATTTCTAATGAGTTAAGAAGGCAGTATTTGGTGGAATAATCCTGATTTTCAAATGAAATTGTTTGCTATTAAGATCAATTGTTATTTTCTGAGGAAAAAAGTTTGAAACGATTTGCTTTTTCAAATGGGCTGACATTAGATATCTATTACTTCAATATTAAATGGAACAGTTAACCCAAAAGTGAAAATCCACTTGTTCAAGCCTTATTTGAGTTTCTTTCTTCTGTTGAACACAACATTCTGGTATAGTTGGCACCAATTCACCTCCATAGTAAGTTTTCTCAACCAGTAATATCTTATTTTGTGCTCAACACAAGAAAGAAACTCATAATGCTTAAAAAAAAAACATGAGGGAGAATAAATGGTCAGTTAAATTTTTTGGGTGAACTAACCCTTTAAGTTAGTTAATACTTTGGTCATTCAGAGATACTGTACAATGTGTTTCCAATGAGACTGAATAGAAATGCCACATTATTTCACTCTCCTCTGCTGCACAGTATATTGGTAAACATTGCTCTCCTCCACTCTTCATATTTTTCTTTTTTCCCCTCTGTTCCTCCTTTACTGGACCGCCGTGGCCTCGGTTTTCCCCCCAGTGGTCTCCAGCTGTATGAGGCTGCCTGAGGCTGGACGGCCTGACCCAGTGGCCCAGCTGTGGAAGGTTCTGGAAAGAGAGATTGAGAGACAGGTGCACAGTGCTGAGGGATGAATATAGAGAGAGTGAGATAATGAGAACAGAGATGGGAGGAGGGCGACGGAGAGCGGAAAAATAAAAACCGAAACGGCTCTGGAACATTCAGGAGAAACTGCGGTGCAAAACTGTAGCAACTGAAGTGAGACTACACATTAATTACCTCTTACACAAAGACTATTTATACTCCTCTATCTCTCATGTGCTCCTCTAATCCAGCCGGGTTTTGCCGCGGCTCCTTTGGGATTATGGAGTTGCATCAAATCCTCATCCTAATCTGCGCTGACTGGCAGGAGAGATTTGGAGGCACTGAGATATACGCTAAAAAAGTACAATCGTGTGCAGTGCTAAACCTCAAGCCTGGTAGAATGATGTTTTCTTGTGTGTGTGTGGCGCAATTCTCTATCGATGCTTGACTATATTCCTTCGAATTCTGATTTAATTCAATCATTCATCAAGGGTGTGTTTGCTTCTAAGAGACTTTTACAATCTTTGTGGCTTAAATGTGTTGATATTACTGAATCAAATCAAACGGTATACATTTTTTCAATATTTTCCTAAAGCAAGACTTACGCAAATCTATCATAACACTCATAGGTGAGTAACATGAGATGTTAATAATTCATAACAGTGGGTTACAGACTATTAATGTGTATTTCATAATATTGAGATCATCCCCAAACAGCATGACTTCAGGTTTTTTTTATTGGAAGAACATTACTGCCCTCTTCTGGCAGCTTTCTTATTTCATCCGCTTGCTTTTTTTCTTATTTCCAAACAGCCTAAATGTGCGCTGTATGACATTATCAGTAAATTGTGGACGTGGGATGTGTGCACTCACTCTGCGATGTACTCCAGTGGTGTCCAGCTGCCGAAATCTGCGTCAGGCATGAATTTCCTGTTCATTGGTGTATCCAAGGTAACCCTGGGGAATGATGTCATAATGTTGTTATCTTGGTGGAAGAGGAGACTGGCTGAAAGACTGGCCTTTTGAACACACTCACCACACGCCATAGAGTCAGATTAATGCAAACAGACAGAACTCAAATGAGCCACACAGGTCACATAACGGAAGAATGTACATACAGTAACGGCAGATGCTCATGCATATGCACAGTTAAAGTCAGAATTATTAGCCCCCCTGTGTATTTTTAATTTCTGTTAAGCGGAAAGATTTTTTCAGCACATTTTTAAACATGATAGTTTTAATAACTCATTTCTAATAACTGATTTATTTTATCTTTGCCATGATGCAGTAAATAATATTTACAACATACGTTTTCCAAGATACTAGTGTTCAGCTTGAAGTGACATTTAAAGGATAAACTAGGTTAAGTAGGCAAGTTAGGGTAATTTTTCAAGTTATTGAACTTATAACGATAACGATTGTTTGTTCTGTGGACAAAAATCGAAAACAAACATTGCTTAAGAGGGATAATAATTTTGACCTTAAAATAGTTTTTTAAAAATTTAAAAACTGATTTTATTCTAGCCAAAATTAAACAAATAAGACTTTCTCCAGAAGAAAAAAATATTATAGGAAATACTGTAAAAAAGTCCTTGCTCTTTTAAACATCATTTGGGAAATATTTAAAAAGAAAAATAATTCACAGGAAGGCGAATAATTGTGACTTCAGCTGGATGTAATATTGATGAGTGAATACTATAATATTAAAAACTCCAAGCAGCGATGAAAGGGACTTTGCTTGTCTTTCAGGAATCAGAAAAACTTTACTATATACTCGAAGAGAATGAAAAGACATCTAAACTGGCTGCAAAATATATGTACACCATTAGTAATGGTTAATCATCCCATTTGCCTTATTTAAAATAATCTACTTGTTTTAATTTTGCAATTATGAAAGTTTTCAGAAATATTGTCTGTTTTTATTAACTTTTCTGTCATTTATTTTTCATTTGTTGATAATTTTATTAATCTGATGATGTTAATATATTACATAGGCTATTTTATATACATTTCTATAATGCCATTTAAATTTGCTTTGAACTTGAAAGAGAGAGAAGCAGATTTGACCTAACAGTAGGTGCGCATTGCTCCTGAATAGCATAAAAGGATTTCTTTTTTATTTCAGTATAAATATATATTACAACAGTCTTTTTTTTTACTTTAACCCATTAAAAAGAAAAGTGTCATAATAAATACAATTATTATTTAAAATGAAATTATGTTGTGTTTGTCGAAAATAGATGAATAGATTATAGAACTATTATATGTTATATTATTCGGCTAAATGGTGTGTTTCAATCTGGCTACCACTGCAAGTATGTCACTAAAGTGACAGTAACATTTCAAGGCTTAACTAGGTTAATTAGAAAAGTTAGACACAAGTTGCTTGTTCTGTAGGAAAAAAAACATACATACATACATACATACATACATACATACATATATATAGATATATATACACATACACACACACACACACACACACACACACACACACACACACACACACACACACACACACACACACACACACACACACACACACACACACACACACACACACACACACACACACACACACACACACACACAAACACACAGTTGAAGCCAGAATTATTAGTTTCCCTAAATTATTAGACCGCATGTTTATTTTTTCTCCGATTTCTGTTTGACGGAGAGCAGATTTTTTTCAACACATTTCTAAACATAATAGTTTTAATAACTCATCTCTAATAACTAATTTATTTTATCTTTACCACGATGACTTTAAATAATATTTGACTAGATATTTTTCAAGACACTTCTATACAGCTTAAAGTGACATTTAAAGGCTTAACTAGGTTAATTAGGTTAACTAGGCAGGTTAGGGTAATTAGGCAAGTTATTGTATAACAGTGGTTTGTTCTGTAGATTATCGAGAAAAAATATAGCTTAAAGGGGCTAATAATTTTGCCCATAAAATGGGTTATAAAAAAATTTCAAAATTGCTTATATTCTAGCCGAAATAAAACAAAGACTTTCTCCAGAAGAAAAAAATATTATCAGACATACTGTAAAAATTAACACACACAGTAAAAGTCAGAATTATTAGCACCACCTTAGATATTTTTTTCTTTCTTTTTTTAAATATTTGCTAAATGATGTTTAACAGATTCAGGAAATTTTCACATTATGTCTAATAATATATTTTTCTTTAAGAAAAAGTCTTATTTGTTTTATTTTGGCTAGAATAGAAGCAGCATTTAATTTTAAAAAAATCATTTTAGGGTCAAAATTATTAGCCCCTTTGAGGTATTTCCCCCCTTATTGTCTACAGAACAAACCATCGTTATACAATAACTTGCATAATTACCCTAACCTGCTAGTTAACCTAATTAACCTAGTTAAGCCTTTAAATGTCACTTTAAGCTGTATATAACTGTCTTGAAAAATATCTAGTCAAATATTATTTACTGTCATCATGACAAAGATTAAATGAATCAGTTATTAGAAATACGTTATTAAAACTGTTATGTTTAGAAATGTGTTAAAAAAAATCTTCTCTCCGTTATACATTGCTTAATATTAATAATACTGACCTTAAAGTGTTTTTTTTTTTTTACTTTTATTCTAGCCAAAATAAAACAAATAGGACATTCTACAGAAGAAAAAAATAATGTAGATATTGTAAACATTTTCTTTGATCTGTTAAACATCATTTGGGAATAATGTTATTCATTATTATGAATTCACAGGAGGGCTAATAACTGTGACTTCAACTGTATGTAATAATGATGAATAAATGCTATAATATTAAAACTGTAAGCCGCAGTCAAGCCTTAGCATGACAAAGCACAATAGACAATAATAATTTAAGCTGATTAATATAAAAAAAACAGACAATGTTAGCTATTTGTGTCATTCATACTTCTGTCTGCAGGTAGCGCTATGACTGTGAATAAATATTCACGTGTAAATAACTTCAGTATAGTACTATAATCAAAGGAGTATATAAGGAATTTGGGGCAGACTGGACATAGTAAGCCTGAGTTATAACAGCATATATTTATTTATTTATTTTTATTTCGTAAACTACTGATATTTATTTTAGATTTACAATTAAAATTGTGTCTTTTTTTTAATGGTGCATAAAATGACAAAAAATTGCCATGTTTTCTTACATGTACACATTAATTTTATTTGTTAGGACTATTTGGTGGAATAACTCTGCTTTTCAAAGGAAACCATTTGTTATTGTGAAAATTTGTTATTTTCTAAAAGAAAAATGTTTGAAATTTAGCATAGTAAAGGCAAAATTTAGTATACAAAATCGAATATCTTAAATACTTTTTAAGGGCCTTATATTTCTCTAAATTATCTTATCAACTTTAAATACGTTTTAAGATCCTGTTGACACCCTGATCTTGGACAGAAGCATAACTAAGACAGACAGATGAGTGTATGAAGACAGACAGGATGATTGACAGAGTCTCTTACGGAAGAATGGCCACAGCTACAGCTCCAGAAGGAAGACCGCTGTTCTCTCCAGCCAGACTCTTGCACAGCTGATGGACTGCAGCCTTGGCCATGCCATAACCAACCATACCTGCACCCACAGACAAGCACAAGTACTGAAGGACATTTAACATTGAGGAGGGCTAATAATTTTGACTTCACCTGCAAATAGGTATTTTATTTTCATTTTATTTTTTTGAAATGTCAAGCCTCCCCCCGGATAGGTGTTGAGAATTAGCAAGTCTGCTAAAACACTTAAACAAATGCATTTGGTTTGTCCAGTGTAATTGTGATGTCCATGTCAAATAAACAAATACATAAAAAACTAAGTACTTAAGACATATAATTGTCTCATTTAATGAGACAATTATAAATAAAACAAAGAAAACACAAGAACACGCACACAGACACACACACACACTGACAGAACAGCAGATATACACAAACTGCTTAAGAATCTCTCACAGGCAGCAGCTGTTGCTTTGAGCTTTGGTCAATAATCGTTTGGTTGGATGCCTGAAGCGGAGAATAAAATGGATTTTGCGATTACAAAATAAGCTAATTGAATTTGATTCCTCCCACACACTCAGACTATTCTTGAAGATCTACGTGCGGGATGTTACCAGCATATTTAAAGAGAAAACATCACAGGGAATTCAATTCGATTTTCCAATGTATTTTGGATCCTTTTGAAACGAAGCTGCAAAATAATATTGTACTGCATTTTAAGCAGACCTCAGGAGACAGATCGATCGAATTAAACAATAAATTCTTTCTTTCTTCCTTTAATAGACATACTGAGTATTACTGGCATTGCATTAATGCTTGTTTAATGTCTGCTTGTGTTTCCAGCTTCCTACACTGCAAAAAAGCTTTTATTACTTAGATTTTTTTTTGTCTTGTATCCAGTCAAAATGTCTAAAAATTCTTAAATCAATAAGCAGTATATAGATAAGAGAACATAAGTCAAAATTAAGTGAGTTTTTGCTTAAAACAAGCACAATATTCTCATGTCAAAAGGAAAAACAAGATTATTTTGCTTATCCTGTTTGGTAGATTATTTAGCTTGTTTAAAAAAAAACTCACTTAATTTTGGCATTTTATTTCTTAAAACAATATTGTTGCTTGTCTATAAAGTACTTCTTGATTTAAGATTTTTTTTGATATTAGGACAAAAAAAGACAAAAAAATTGTTTGAAAAGCTTTTTTTTTTTGCAGTAAACATCAATTATTATTTTTTTAACTTTATTTTTATTTCTCTTTTTAAGGAAGACATAAGGGGAAAAATACAAATAATGAATAATAAATAAAAAAATTCCGATATTACATAGGAATTTAAAAGAACAGTTGACTGGTCACATATTTCCTTAAAGGTCACATTAACAAATACATATAGAAATCAGATTACACCGTGTAAAGGCATAAGTACAATCCATAAATCTGAATTTTGCTTTAATAATAATAATAAAAAAATAAAAAAATAATTAAATAAATAAATATTATTACCAACAACAACAACAACCTAATAATAATCATAATGCCTTACAATACATTTATATAGCGCTTTCCAGGACACTTAAAGCACTTTTTAGGGGGAATCTCCTCTTCCACCACCATTGTGCAGCATCCACCTGGATGACGTGATGGCAGCCATACCTCACCAGAATGTACACCACACACCAGCTGATTGGTGGAGAGGAGACAGAGTGACGAAGCCAATTACGATATGGGTGCTGCTGGTCTCACTAACACCATGTTTTGATTCTAGTCCAGATGTCTAAACAATTCTTTAATTAAGAAGTATGTTCTAAACAAATAAAATTATTGTCTTGTTTTGAGAAAGAGGTCATAATCAAGTGAGTTTTTCGTTAAAACAAGTAAACTAATCAGACAATGGTGTGAGCAAAATAAACTTTCTTTGGAATTAGGTTATTTTACCTTCCACATTGGATGATTATTTTGCTTGTTTTAAGGAAAAACTCACTTAATTTTGACTTATTATTTCTGAAAACAAAACATTGTTATTTTTTTTTTATTTAACAATTTTCAATTAATAAAAAAATTTAATGTCTGTCCCCAAAAGGAGTTAGACATTTTTTTAGACAGCCTCACACACAACAATATAAATACAAATATAGAAGCACAAACACATTCGTAATTTAAAATTCAATTCTGAAATCCTACTTAAAAAGCCAATAGCTTTAGGAATAAATGTCTTGTGCTTGGCCTTTATCGCTACGGGAACTTTGTACACACTAAGAAAAAAGGTACAAAAGCTGTCACTGGGGTGGTACTTTTTCAAAAAGTACATTTGGTACCTTACAGTTGCACATTGGTACCTTAAAGGAACATTTTTGTACCTTCAAAGTCAACCCATTCTGAAAACATACCTTTATATACATTTCTGGAGAGTGCCAAATGCGTTTCAGGAGCTACTTTTTTTGTCTGTTTTTGCTTTCATGAATCCACCAGAGGGTGCTGCGTATGCTTTTTCAGATCTCAAATTTCTCTCGCGAGTGCCATCCACGCCTGCTGTAAATCTACCCGAGGCCGCTGTCGACTGACTGACTAACCAACCGACCGATCCCTCCAACCACCGCCTTCCCTAAAACCCAACCGACAGTGTTTTAATAAGCACCGATTGTCCAGCCCCCAATTTCCTAAATCTAAATGACAGTGTTATTCATTCTTTCATTTTCTTTTCGGATTAGTCCCTTCATTAATCAGGTGTCGCCACAGCAGAATAAACCACCAACTTATCCAGCATATGTTTTACACAGCGGATGCCCTTCCAGCTGCAACCCATCACAGGGAAACATCATGTCGCGGACGCAGCTCTCTCTATTCTGCTGCCCCAGACGCGGATAAAACTGAGGCGCGGGTGGCGAGAGTAGTTTAGGGGACGCCACCCGAAGCGCGGGTGGCGAGGGTAGTTTAGGGGATGCCACCCTCTCTATTCTGCCACCCTAGACGTGGATATAACTGTGGGTGCGGGTGGTGAGGGTAGTTTCGGTGACGCCGCCCTCTCTATTCTGCCGCCCTAGGCGGCCGCCTAGGTCGCCTCTATGGATGCGCCGGCCCTGCCTGGAGGAAACCAACATGGAGAGATCATGCAAACTCCACACAGAAATGGCAACTGCCCTAGCCGAGGCTCGAACCAATGACCTTCTTGCTGTGAGGTGACAGTGCTACCGACTACACCACTCCTCGCCCTTTTATTTACTTGTCTATATTATTTTTTGACTTCTGTTTTTGTCTTGCCTGCTTTCTGGAACCGTTCTTTGCCAGACTCGAACCCTATCGTCATGGTCAATTCCTCTCTACGTCTCAAGTCTGTCGACTTACACGGCAAGCTACCGGACAAACTGGTAACAGCGGTAAAGCTGTCCATATAGAGGTAAGTAAAAAAAATGAATGGCATCATACCGCCCCATAGCGTTCGTTTTAAAGACAAAATGCAGCCATACCTACTTCTGGCTACATACTTCGCAATCTCCAGAAATGTACATAGGGGGACGTTTTCAGAACGAGCCTGTGTTGTTTAAGGTAGTATGAAGTGCACAATTGTACTTTTTAGGTATAAATATGTACCTTTGATGTATAAATGTGGACCTGACAGGTATAAAAGTGTACCTTTTGAAAAGGTACCGCCCCAGTAACAGAGAGTGTACCGTCTTCCAGATGAAAGTAACTTTTTTTTTTTGTCGCTGCAATAAATGAATCAGTAAGAGGTGTTGGTCTCTCACTAATTATTTTACTTGCTATATTTGTTAACCTTAAATGTTTATTTTTGTTCATTTTATTTTAGATATCTGGACTAGAAACAAGACAAAACAGAGCATTTTTTGCAGAGTAGATGTTTGTTGGCCTGTCATCTGGAATTAATAACTAGCATACTTGTGGTTTTAAGGAAGTAAATACTACTTTTTTTCAAGAATTAAGTTTTTCCACCCTCAAACCCCAAATGCATTCTGTTTGCAAAAAAATCCTTTAAATCCACAGTGCCAAAAAGACAAAGAAACTCTTTTCAATGTACTCTGAAAAAATGTGATAGGAGTGTTTGACCCTTTGAGCCACACATGACCCCTCATGACTGAATGAACATCGCAGCAGTTTGATCACATGTTCTGTCTCCCGGATTTAGCTTAAATTCCCTTTGGTATGTTTGTGATCCAGACTAAACTTTAGCTTTGATCTCAGTTGATCCCACAAACCCATGTCATATGAGAAGAGATTTGATGCATCATAATAAACATTCAAAGTTAACGGCATGATTAAAAAAAACAGTTATAGTAACAAAATTAATTATTAAATCACCTAAACATATGTCATTGTGTTTTCATTTGTTTGTTTTAATTTCCTATTCTAATAAAGGTTGGACTTTACTGTTATTGTTTTCACTCTTAATTTCATTAATCTGGATACATTTAAAAACATTTTGTCTGAAAATTATTTTTACATTCTACAACGTGCAATAAAAAATAAAAAATAAAAAAACATGTAATTTTAACATATTTCGCAATTCGTTTTGCAATGTTTTTTATGCTTCTGAATTACATTATGGAACCATGATCTTTCCTCCAACAACTTTTAATGTTATAAAGTTTGATAGTGAACTTTATTGACATTTTTATTAGTTTACAGTGATATATTGGCTGTGTTATGCACAAAACCTGCCAATAAACTGTCAGTATATATATACATGTTATTTTACAGAGTTAATTCCTTCTTTGTTATTTTTAATACAATATATTGTTTCAACTTAAAATTTACATTGTTAAACTGTACAGTTGAATTTTCATCAACAAAAGTCAACAGAGCAAAGATCAAGGTTCCAGTAGCACAAATAATAACCGTAAATAAACTGGAAAAAAAAACCCTCCTGTGAATCGTGAAATACAGAACCTGTTGATTAACTCATATTTGTTTAAAGTATGGGTAAATTTGAAATCACTTTTTTTGCATTGTACTGTCGACTACTGTGGAAAGTTTTGACACAAATTATGCATGTTTAGTCATGTGATGCAGTGCATATACTATATATACTTTATATTCACAGAAACATCATTTAGTGTGTTTTTAGTCCATCCA